TGGCAGGGAACCCTTTGGGACTGGTTCTGTGCAGCTGGTCAGAGCCAGCAGTCCAGACAGGGAGCTGGAGCAGCACCCAGAGGCCCCTCTGAAGTCCCAAGGTACAGCACAACCACTGCACTTGCAACACAGAGCAGTACTGCCTGCCAAGACTTGTTCCACGTTTTTATCTGCTTTACTATCAACTGAGAGCAGAACAATTTTAAGACAGAACTACTTTCAAAGCCCAATACAACCTACACTGAGTGGAAAGGTGATACAAACGATGATGGGAAACAAAAGCAAGCCTGAAGGAGGAACATGCTTGTGAATAACACCTCTTAATGCCAATGAGTAAAACATCACCTCTTAGTGCTCAGCCACAAGCACAACCCACTAAAGCCAACCTCAGAGCAGCTTAAACCAACTTTGGAGCAACTCAACCCACAGCTAGCTAAGAACAGCAGCTGAAGGAGCACTGCAGCTACAGCAGCATGTCCCTGTCAGGCTCAGCTCCAGCAGCACAGGGGAACAGGTTCTCAGCACTCCAGGTACTGCTTTCCTGATCACCTTTGTGCTGCAGGATGGGATCCATGTATTTGGCAGAGCACAAATACACAGGGTCACCCCTTCAACTGGAGGAGAACCTGAGCTCACACCACCACCTCAGTATGACACTGTCAAAACCAGAAAGCAGCTGTGAGGTTAGAGCTGAGAAGACCAAAGGAAGTTTCCCTCCAGTTTCACTACTCTGTCAGGCTGTGTTAGAAACAGAAGTGGCACTGGTGGACCAGACAATACCAGGAAGCTCTCACTGGTCCAGGTCACCTCACCTGGTGGTCAGTGACTGTGTGACAGGTGGGTACAATAAGACAAAGCATTTGGCTCAGCAGATCTTAATCCTGCACCCAAAGGAACCTTTGTCAAAAACTCTCAGGAACAAGTACCAAGAGCTTCTCTGTCTTCAGAGAGGCCTCAGCAGAACACCTTCCTCTGGAACCACCTCCCAGCGTGTGCATCCTGCTTAGAGACCTCTCTGATGTTTAAAAACAGAATCAAGAGAAAACCAGTTCCTGGGTAAACCTGAAGTTTGGCCCCTTCTGCTTTCTAACACAGGAACTAAACAATAGAGCAGAGCATTTCCTGTGGGTGTGAGGCATTCTAATGGTGAGCACTTGGATGCCCTTCCTTGTGAAAAGGGCAAGGCTCTCCATGCACCTGACAGGGAAACGCTGTGCAGCCAGAGATGACCTGACAACATGGCAAGGACAGAGACAAGAAAACTTGAGACATGGTGTAGATTAAAGAGCAAATTAAATTCTAAAGGAGAAATGGAGAAGTTCTGACTAATACAGCTCAGCCTTTCTTTCTGATCTGTCCTCTCTATTTGCACTGTCAGCCAAGGCTCAGTGTCTCCCCCCAGCACCCCCTAACTGTCCCCTAACTGGCTGTTCCCTCACAAAGACTCACTGAGTTGGCAAATGAGTGCCACTGGCAATGCAGCACCTCTGCTGTGTGAGGTGTCTGACACCACTGGAGCTATTCCTGTATCTGCAGTCACTTCACATAGCTGTGGGAGTTTCAACAGGAAGAAAACCTATTAATGAAAATATATATGGTGCTTTCTTCATATTCAGCAAATTCTGCATTTCTCACCTATAACTTCCGAAGGTAAAGAAAACAGCCCCAACACAAACCTACCTCCAAACAAGGGCTCAGGCTCCACCAGAATCTCTTGCTTTTGAGGGATGGGAGCTCGTACTTCCTCCCTAGCAAAGGGAAGAAAAGAACAATCAGTGACATTCCAAGTACTGCATAAGCCACATCTTATTGTGCTCCAAAGGCTCCTGCAACTTGAACCAGCTAAGGATGCTGCTGTACCATGGCACAGAATAAAGAGATTTGGGGTCAACAGGGACCTCAAGAGACCTTCTATTCCCACTCCTGGCACTGCTGCAGCACTTAGTGTTCCCTGCACTGATATCTGGCACAGACGACCTTTAATAGATCACATTTCCCTGAGCGACTTGATTTCAGCCTTTGTCATCTACTGTTTAAGCTTTTTTCCTTCTTTAATTAAACTTCGTTAGAACTTGGAAAAGTTTCTTAAAACTTAGCAAAGGCTGTTAATTAATGCACTTGCCACTCCCCTGCCTTGAGCTTTGTTTGTGAAAAACAGGGAGTGTAAGCTACAGAAAAATTCTGAAGTACATGCAAGAGCCTAACTTGAGGACTAGAGGGAATGGCCTTGAGCTGAGATAGGGAGGAGGCAGATTGGATGTTAGGAGAAATGTTTTCCCTGTGAGAGTGTTCAGGCCCTGGAATATTGCCCAAGCTGGTGGTGGAGTCCCCATCCCTGGAGATGTTTAAGAGGTGTCTGGATCTGGAGCTGGATGATATGGTTTAGGGGTTCCAGCAGTGACAGGTTAATGGTTGGACCTGATGATCTTAGAGGTCTCCTCCAACCCTGCTGGTTCTCCGATTCTAAGTGAGGCTGCACAGATTCTACGCTTCTCACTTCTGTTGGTCTACACCAACTGACACAACAACTTATTTACCCAAGAACAACACTGGAGCAATGAGGTGAAGGAGATGAGAGCAGCAGTGGGTTAGGACTGACAACTGCATTATCTGCTGTGCCTGCAGTGTTAAATGCTTAGGCCAGAGTGATCGCTCCTGCAGAGCTGTACCCGGGTACGTACTCGGTGTGGGGGCGGCCGGCAGACACCCCCGCGGAGCTGGTGCTCGGCTCCTCCGCGATGCCTCCTCCATCCAGGAACATGGTCACAGCCATCTCCAGGTTGTTGTTGCATGCCTCCAGCATGTGCTTCCCCACGCTCTCACTGGCACCTGGAATGCCAAAGGAAAACTCAAGCATTCCCACTTGGAAGTGCCGAGAACAGCTCCCGCTCTCACAGCACTGGTAATCAGGGAGAATAATTCATCAGTTGCCACTGATCCCTGAAGTACCAGCTATGGGATGAGACAAACTGCCACATCCCAGGGGGAAGGCAATGCCTGCATGTAGGACAGCCAGCCACACAGACCTAGTGGAAGCCATCTGAGGGGGTTTAACGGCTTGGATTCTTTTTCAGACGTCAGACTTTTTCCTGGTACATGGAGCTGCTGGACCAAGTCCAGATGAAGCCACGGAGGTGCTCCGAGGGCTGGAGCCCCTCTGCCCTGGAGCAGGGCTGGGAGAGCTGGGGGTGTTCACCTGGAGAAGAGAAGCTCCGCTCCAGAGATAGAGCCACTTCCAGTGCTTAAATAGGCTCCGAGAGAGCTGTAGAGGGACTTGGGACAAGGGACGGAGGGACAGAACACAGTGAATGGCTTCCCACTGCCAGAGGGCAGGGCTAGATGGGATATTGGGAAGGAATTCCTCCCTGGGAAGGCGCTAAGGCACTGGCAGAGGTTGTCCGGAGCAGCTGTGGCTGCTACTTCCAGTGCTTAAATAGGCTCCGAGAGAGCTGTAGAGGGACTTGGGACAAGGGACGGAGGGACAGAACACAGTGAATGGCTTCCCACTGCCAGAGGGCAGGGCTAGATGGGATATTGGGAAGGAATTCCTCCCTGGGAAGGCGCTAAGGCACTGGCAGAGGTTGTCCGGAGCAGCTGTGGCTGCTCCATCCCTGGGAGTGTTCCAGGCCAGGTTGGATGGGACTAGTGGGAGGTGTTCCTGCCCATGGCAGAGGTGGGGCTGGATGAGCTTTAAGGTCCCTCCAACCCAAACCACTCTATGGATGTTCCAAACACATGCAGGCACACACAATGAGAAAGGAAGACCTGACTTAACTAAATCAGCTGCTAAACCCACTTGTAGCAGATACTTAGGGGTGGAAGAGAAGCCTCCCTGACTTACTGATTGTGCTGAGAGGCAAAACCAAAGCAGCAGCAGGTCAGTTCACATAAGAGGGGAAAGCAAACAGCCAAGAGGGAGAGAACAGCACTTGTCTGTTATAACTGTATGACTAAGATCTATTAAAATCTCTCCTAAGTGCAACTCAATCTAGTCTTCATCTTGCTGCTCAGGCTGAAAGAACAGTCCCTAGCATCACTTGCAACTCTTTCCTCAGGATCATCCTCTATCTCCCAGCTTCTCTTAAGAACCATCCCAGCAGCAGATGCTCCCTCATCCATGGAACCCCTCCTGCACCCAACCCTTAAGTGCCTACTGACCACAGCTCCTGTCTCCAGAGGTGGTGGGCTGCCAAGGAGGTTATTTTCCTAGGGGCAGGCTAGTAGAGAGTGGTAAAATGCAGCTATACCAGTCTGGGACCAGCTTTGGGATCTGCAGTGATCCTTCACTACAAGTTACCAAAGTGCAGACAACACTTTGCCCAGCACCAGGCTCACAGGTAACATCAGCTTGGGCAAAACACATCTGGCTGTTCCTTGGACTTTCTGGGAAGCAGTCAAGAAGCTCCAGAGAATAAACACACCTCGAGACTGTCCAGATCACTCAGTCCTAAAGGACCTGCCCATCAAACCATGGGGAAAGCCAAATGCCACAGACACTGACACAGCAGGAGCCTGCACTGATCCCTCAGCACTCCTGAGGAAAGAGCCACCCAGGAAAGCTTTCAGTCAACAGAAACTGCTACACAGGTGTTGAGTCTCAAAGCAAATTCCACCGAGGTCCCATCACTTCCCAGGGAAAGCTCCATCCCCTCAGCAGTCCTTTCCTGGATGAGAGAACCAAGGAACCAGTTCTGCCATCAGGATGGAACAAGCTCAAAGACTGTTTCTCCTTATCCCTCACTGCACAGCATTCCCTCAGCCTCTTCCCCACAGCTTCCCCAAAGCTCCCAGCTGAGCTGCCAACACAAAGCAGAGAGGTGAGCGCTGCTGAGCCCCTGTCACACCACACCAGCCCCAGACAGAGAAGATCCACCACACACTGTCACATACAACCTCCAATTCTGCTAAAGTGGAACATCAAACTTCAGAGCTCCACTTTGACAGGGGCTGAGAGAGGCACAGCAGGTTCTTCTCTTCAGCTGTGAAAGCATAAAGAGATGTTCTCCTGCTCTGAGCATAAAACACCTGTGTAAGCACAAAAGACTGTCAGGGAGGGCAAACCAACACAGCTCTGCCTGCTCCGAGCTGGGTTTTAGCAAACACCTCACACACAGGCACATATAACACAGGGAAGATGTGTTTGCTGCAGGTTCTCTTTATTCAGAGGCTTCATCCTACGATCTTCCTTTAAGGGCAGCTGCAAGATCACTCACTTCCCTGTTCACGCGGGGAGTTCACATCCCTGTGCCGGATCCGAGTGAATCCTGGGACACGACCCGAAGCGGACCTGGTTAGAGTAACTGCAGTGTAACAGCTGCAGTTACGGGGCCTAAAGGCCGGAACAGGTTCATTAAACACTCCCTCAGCACCGAGCGGCGATGCCAGCGGCGACCGGGGCTAGACACGAAGTGGGTCAAGCGCTCCGAGTACACAAACTAACGCAGGAACTGTCACCTGCTGCAAACTTCCACGTCAAAGCACTTCCACCTCCGCTAGCAAACGCGACTCTCCGCGGCCCAACCGCGCGGTATAGGTACCGATAAGGTGCCGGCGGCGCACCCAGCGCGGGGCTCAGCCCCCGCTC